CACAGGGGACAGGGCTGCTCTGACTCTGGCAGTGGTTTGTTTTGTATTACTGCATTTTTATTTTACTTTTATTTTCTTCCCTAATAAAGAACTGTTACTCCTACTCCCACATCTTTACCTGAGAGCCCCTTAATTTCAAAATGATAATAATTTGGAGGGACGGGGTTTGCATTTTCCATTTCAGGGGAGGCTCCTGCCTTCCTAGCAGACACCTGTATGTTCAAACCATGGCACTGAGCTGTGCTCTGAAGGTGCTGGTGTCCAGCTGAGCTGTGCCTTGCTGCAGCTCCCCTGCTCTGCACCCCCCAGCAGCTGGGGTGACTCCTCATCCTCCCCCTGAGCTGCCTCATTGCTGCAGTTCTTGGACTCTCTCTGACCCTGCCAGCTGTGCTTTTGAGCTTGGCTCCCCTTGCTCCAAGGAGCAGAATTCCCCACCTGCATCTCCCCACTCTGAGGTGCAAGAAATGGCACGTGGAACTGCATCCCTCTTCCAGGTGTTGAGTTACTTCTGCAAGCAGGGAACAAGCAAGATCACTTGAAATCTGTCCTTGCCCACCTGTGCTCTGCACACCTGAGCTGCCAGAGGAGCAGGGGGGTGGGCACTGCAGTGGCTCCAGGCAATGACACCTCTGAAAGGGCCACCAGTCCTCCCCCCAGCACAGGGAGAGGAGCTGGGGCTGAGGGCTGTGCAGGGAGCTGCACTGGCCTCGTGTGCTCCTGGACTGGCACTGCTTGCTCTGCTCCTGGCTGGGGCTCTGAGCTGCTGTGAGCACTGGCCATGACCCCTCTGCCTGATTTGCTCCCAAGAACTGTAACGCCCTCGACAGGAGGAGTTGCAGGACCCTATTCCTGCACAACACTCTGTAATTCAGCATTTCTCTGCTCCTCTGAGCTGTTTCCAGCTTGGATATATTCTCTGTTCCTCATTTTTTTAGTCTGCTCCTGCAGAGCCACAGGCACAGACAGGGATGTGGGATGGAGCAAGCCTGGCCCTTCTCAGAGGGGTGAACATCTGGTTTGTCACAGTTTGCTTCAGCTACTGCTCTGCCCCTGGGCAGGGTTTAACACACACCACTGGAAATACAATTATTTCTAGACCTGGGACTCCTCTGACTAAATCACACCTACTCACTTACAACTGTACCAACTCTGTGCTCTTATGTTTGAGGAAACATGAATTACTGCTGCCCATCACCTGTATCAGCCAGAGCAGGACCTAGAACAGGACCTGCTTTATCCAGGCAGGACTTGGCTGCTGCTTTCTCTCCCTGCTGCACTCAGAGCTGTGAGTGGCAGAGGAAAGCTCAGAGACAGCCATGTGAGTGTCTGCAGCCTGCCTTTGTGTGACATCCGGAGGTGTGCAGCCAGCCAGCACTGCTCCCCCAGGACCAGCTCCCCTGCTCCTGCAGCCTCTGCAGAGAGGGATGAGCAGAGCAGCAATGACTTCATGAGTCTGATGCAACCCTGGGAGCAGGCTCAGATCCTCCCCCAGCCCAGCAATGCCCACATGCTGGGCAGCAAAATGCCTTTGGCAGCTGAAGCAGGCGGTGCTCCTGGGCAGGGACAGCCACAACCAAAGGAGCATTTGTCCCTTCAGCTGTGCTGCTCCCTGCCCCTGCCCCCTCTGCTCCTGCCCCAGCTCCCAGGGGATGTTCAGCAGGTGCTGCTCACCTTGCAGAGGCTGTACATGATGATGAGGATGCCACCCAGGAAGTAGCTGCTGGATGGATCATCCCCCATGATGTATTTGTACCACAGCTGGATGGGCACCAGGGAGCGGAAGAGCTGGCTCAGCTCCTCAATAATCAGGTAAAACTTTCCCTGCAAGACAAGCAGGCAAGTGAGACCATCGTTATTACCAGCAAGACAAAAGAAGAACATTTAATTTGTGCAGGGCTGCTGTTCACTGATCACTGCACTGTTAAATGGTGCAGAGATCTCACTCATGAGATGCAGCTTTTTCTGCAGCCCCTCAGCTCTGTGCCCAGAAAGGATAAATATCCCTTCATTCCTCCACAGGGCTCAGCTGAACACAAGCAGAACAAGCCACTGAAATATTCACTTCTTTTTTCTACTGTCAACTTAAACTTGAAATTTGGAATTAATAAAATCTGCTATGCAGCATTTTGGAATTATAAACTTTAGAGCAGGTTATGGATAGGCAATACATTGTGTATGTGGACAATGCTGCAGAAAACCAAAGGTTAAAATGATGTGATCTGTAGATATTATTAGTAGTGAGAAAAGGAAAGCAAGTTAGATCTCTGACCTTACACCCCTTCTGAAGGTACAGGGATTAAATGTTAAGTGACCTCACTCTTCATGACAATTTTTTAGGTAATCCCAAAGAATCAAATTAATTCATTTGACAGCATCCTTCCCCTCCCCCTCAGGTGGGTGGGCAGTGCACAGATAAAAAGACTGGTGCTGAAAATTAAACCCTCAGGGCATTTAAAACTCAAAGGGACCAAACCTTCCAGAAGACCTCAAGGAAGGAAAGGTTGGGGGCAGGGGAAGTGTACTGCTTGAAATGCTTCTCTCTCAAAGGAGACTCAAAGAATGGACAACATCCTTTGTCAACCTTCACCAAAGCCTGAATAAGTGTCTCATTTAGGGCCACCCCCAGTTTGTTTTGTCCCACGCCGTTTACAGGGACAGCTGGTGGCTAGCCGAGTCCAGAAGGATGCTTAATCTGCAGTGACATTATCTGGGCTGAAAGATTTGCATTTGTCCTGTCAAAATCCTTTTATTTGCTCAGCTCCTGGAGAAGGGGAAATTCCCCTGGAATTTTGCTGTGTTGTCCCAGTTAGCTCTGTCATCAGTGATGTCATCGCAGGCCAATCACTAATTGCTGAGGTGGGGATGGGATTGAGTCCTCGCAGCCGGGCTGGCAGCAGCCAGCGCCCCTCCCCGGGGGCTGCGATGAGATCACTCGCAGGCCGTCCTGCAGCTCCCGACCATGCAATCCTCCATCCTCCCCACAGCCCTGGCACGCCAGTGAGCTCATGTCCCGCGGGACGCGAGTGAGCTCACACCAGCGGCTGCGATCGGACCCGGCTGCTTCCCTCCCCATCCCCATCCCCATCCCGTCCCCATCTCCACCCCGTCCCCCCTCCATCCCACCCCATTTCCCTCCCCATCTCATCACCACTCCATCCCCATCCCCATTTCCCTTCCATCCCACCCCATTCCCCTTCCATCCCACCCTACTCCATCCCCATTTCCCTTCCATCCCATCACCACTCCATCCCCATCCCCATCCCCATTTCCCTCCCCATCCCCATCTCATCACCACTCCATCTTCATCCTCATCCCCACTCCATCCCCATCCCCATTTCCCTTCCAACCCACCCCATTTCCCTCCCCATCCCCATTTCCTTTCCACCCCTTCCCATCCCCAAGCCCATTCCCCTTCCATGCCACCCCATTCCCCACCCCAACCTCATCCCCATTTCCTTTCCATCCCTCCCCATCCCCGTGCCCATTCCCGTTCCAACCCACCCCATCCCCATCTCCCTTCCATCCCACCCCATTCCCCACCCCATCCCCATCCCCAAGCCCATTCCCGTTTCAACCCACCCCATCCCCATTTCCCTTCCATCCCACCCCATTCCCATCCCCATCCCATCCCCTCTCCCGCACAACCCGGGGCAGCAGCAGCAGCAGTCCGGGGTCGGAACCGCCCCGATTTATTCAATTAGCACTCGGGCCTCTCCCAGCCCGATGCTGCGATGCAATCATGGTTTATTTTGGGCGCTGCTGGGCCAGAAATGACAACGCTGTCACCGCGTCCCTCCGCAGGGCTCTGATGAAAGCTCCCAGCAAGAAAAAGGCAGCGGATTTTGCTTTCTGCAGCTCGTCCCTGCCGCGGGGCCGGGCCAGGTCACTGCTTGCTGTCCCATTGCATCAGCCGGAGCTGCTGCATCCCACATCCAGCATCCAGCATCCCACATCCCGGCTGGAGCCTGCCCCAGGCTGGAGCCTGCCCCAGCTGCTCCTGCTCACCACCACTGAAAGCCCCGAGCCCACAGCGAGGTGTGAGGAAAGCTGGGGCAGCCCCAGGGCGAGTGACAAACTTCAGCATCCAACCCAACAACTCCTGCACCCTCCCCAGAGCTGCCAGAATTCCCTTTTCCTCCCTTTCCGATGCTAACTGCAGGGTAGCAGGATTTTTTAGCAGCTAGAAGCTTGCTGACAGCCTCCCAAGAGTGAAGTGATGTTTTAAGGGATGCACCCCTCCCTGCAGCCCCTTAGCAGCACCCACCTGACCATTAAATGTTGGTAAATTTAGTTATTCCAGCAGGGAGGGAGCAGTACAAGGGCAGTTGAGCATCATTTCAAGAGAACTAGAAACTTCAGGCAGCTCAGTGCACCACACCAGCCCCTTTTTTAAATGAGGAAAAGTGCCAGAAAATCAGAAATAATCAGCCTACAAAGGGCTGATGCAGAAGTGAGGCCCTCCTTCTGAGCCAGAAGCCTGGAAAATTAGGATTGCTCCCCACAATTTCAGCAGTAAAATGTAGATTTCTGATAGCACCAACTTACTGCAGGCAGCACCCATCAGAGGGAAGCACACTCAACATACCTGTCTGCCACTACTCAGCTCTGTTATCTCTTAGCTATCTAGGTTACATTTTTCAAAGTCAAATCTTTGTTTCAAGCTGTATTTTGTCTGAAAAAATCCAGCTAAAATACATCAGCTTTTTTTTTTTTTTTTTTGTTCAAGATTAGAACTGTGTGTTATATGAAGCACAAATATAATTATTTCTCCTGTGCATCTGATTTGGCACCACAGCAGAAATAAGGCAAGGCCTGTCTCTGTCAGGTGACTTTTCCTATGTCACAAAAACCTGTGTAAATCTGGGAATTTTCTCTGGAATGCACTGGAGAGCCTGAAGAGCTCTCTAAGATCAGCAGAATCTTTCTGGTGGGCTTGTGAGCCAGCCCCAGAGCAGGACTGGGCTGTGTGGGAGCTGAACTGCAGAGATGAAATAGGATATTACCTGGAATTATGGCTCCTGCTGGGGGTAGGGAACAGCAGAAAGGCTCTGCTCTCACCAAGGGTTAAGCCTGGCCCAGAAGTGAGAGGGGCAGTGCTGGCCCTGCTTCCTCCGAGGGAGCTGCTGCTGCTATCAAACACTTCATTAGCACACGTGGGGAAGGGCTGTGCTGGGATCTAATTTTAGCAGCTCTGCTGATGAGCCTCAGATACCACATGGTGAAATTTTGATTCCTTTTTTTCAGTGCTAAGTCAAAACCACAAGTCAATGGCTTGTGTATAACCCCCCCATTTTCTGAACCTCCTTCACCACACAGAAATACCGTTTCTACAATTCAAACCAAGCCCTTCTTTTGAAAGAGGGGAAATCAGCATTTTCACACAATTGCACTTTCCCTTCTGTACATGCAGAGTTTCAGTCTGTACTGCACTGAAGCTTTTTGCACGGAATTTCTTGGTATTTTGTTACATCCTCACTACCTGATGGCAGACCTGCATCTGATCCTTTCCTGCCATTTGAGCTCTGCTCAGAGGAGCACATTCCTAGAATTTCTACAGTGCCTTTACAACATCAGCATTACAGAAAACACTTGAAAATCTCTTTATTTTCAGGCTGCTGGCTGAGCTCAGGGACAGCTTTTCTCTTCATTTTCTAAATGAGAACCTGAGACACAGAAAGACAAAGGTCAAGGCAAGGGTGTTTTGGTGTCCATGCTGAGGTGTTGGGATTAGACTTTTTATAAAGCACTTCATTTTCTAGATCACATTACCATTAAAAGCAGAAGCCCTGACTTCAGTTTGCAGCTCTACCTGACTTCTCTAGATTCACACAAGAATTATTTGGCAAAGGACAGGATTTAATTCTCCAGTGTAGCAACTCAACTTGAACTTGTAGAACGTTCTTCTCTTTGTTTCCTGTGAACTTTCCAGTTACTGCAACAGCTTCTTTCAATCCCTCACCTTCATCCTTGGGGCGTGGTGGTGGAGGGGAGAAGCCTCACAGAAAAATACCATGGAACAGTGTAATTAAAAATTGAATCCCAAGCTAGACACAGCAAAGGGGGTGGGTTGCAGACTCCCCCAGGGCTCAGTGTGCAGTCTCCCTTGCCATAAGGCTCTGCCTCAGTTTGCCTCCCCACGAGGAACAGAGGCACAGCAAGGATTGACACAGCGCAGTCAGAGTGGGGCATGCAAGAGAAGTGAGAGAAGTTGCAATGAGGCAACTGCAAGGTGTGATTAGCACTCGAGGGAAGCTCCAAGTCTCACTTGTTCTGCTGCCAGCAGCAGCATTAGGGCATATTCTGAAACGTGCTTCAAAAAGCTTTGGAGTCCTGCTGGCAGTTTGGATCAGAGGAGAGCAGGCTCTGCTGAGATTCCAGGTCATGGTGCCAATAGATCAGGTGTTGGGTAGGAGCAGTAAAACAGAGAAAACTCCCAGATTTACCCAGTAAACAGCATCGTGGTATGGAGGATGCTGGTGAAAATCCATGCAGGACTAATGATGAGTAATGTCAAGGTGGGACTAGAGGGGAAAATAAAAATTTTAGTTAGCACACGCTTCTGAAAATCCCAACTTTTGTACCTTAAACTGGCAAGTTAAACTGGGAAACCACTGAAGAGCAATGGTTTTTAAAAAGTTCAGTAGCAGTGACTTGCAAAGCAAGTTTAGGGAGGGGGACAGAGGAGTCCCCACTCCTCAGTACCTGCTCTTATGCTTCAGTTAGTTTTTAATTTTGTAAATAATAAATCCCACACTTCTGACTCTGGGACAGCACATCAGTCCCAGCTGCAGCAGGGAAAAGTCCTTGCAGAACATCCTGGAGTTCCTGTGACCCAAGAGGACCCAAGCTCAGACTGCTGTCCGTGAAGTGTTGTGGTGTGTTTGGTTTGAATCCGTGTTTGCTCCCTGTTCTCCCCACTAATCCCCTCCCTTTCCCAGTTGCCAATTTTCCCAAGCCCTTCCCGAACCTCTTCTCTTCCAAGTTGTCAATCCTCCCTATCCCTACCCCTCTCTCCAGAGAGTTCTGTGTCTGTCTTGTGCAGGTTCAGAAGGAATATGGAAATTAATGTGCCAGGTTCCATGGCAGAGCTGTACCCATCTGTGACAGGAAATATCATGTACACCTGAAGAAGGTTTTTGGTCCAAGTGCAGAACTTGAAATTGCTGCCACATCCAGGCCAGGTTTTCTCTGACCAGACTTGATGAGATGGTAATTTTAAAATGAAAAGCACTAATAAAACAATCCACTGGAAAAAGCCACCAAGCAAGTATTTTCAAAGCTACAGTGAGGGGCCAACATCAGTGTTCTCCTTCTGCATTTTCACTCTCCTGGAAATGCAGTCCCCTGTAACTTGGCTCTGCATTGAGCATGAAGAGAAAATTCTCACTTAGGGCCTTTCTTATGTATTAAATTATCCATGGTATCTTTGCCCCTATAGGGATAGGGACACACAGATGCAAGAACTGGGGGTAACAATTTCTTACAGTCCTATTTGGTTTGATTTTCTTTCTCCCTCCCCCCACGTTTCACTCACTAATCCAGCTCAGATTGCTGATAACAACATGAGGAGGGGATGGGAAGCTTGCAGGCACCTGGGATTTCCTAAGTGAAATCTTTGGCAACTGTGTATTTTTATTATTTATTTCCTGATTTTGAATTCCACCCCCCTCAAGCTGTCATTCCTTAGCAGTGAAAATGAAAAGCTGCCCTTGATGTGTGCACAACAATGGAAGCCTCTGCAGGCCACATGGCTCCTGCAGTTTAATTTACTTTAATTCATTTTATATTGAACCAAATGATCTTATTTGCCTTTTTTAATGGAGAGCCTTCAGCCAAGCCCTCCCTTCCAAAGGAATGATGAGCTCAGCTGTTACTGAAACTTGTACCCAGCTCAGTGTCCCTGTCACAGCTGGGGGGAGGAAGGGACACCTCCAGCACAGGTGGGATCCTCTGGAAACTCCACAGAGCTCTGGGATGAGTCTGACGCTGGGGTTACCTTCCTTCTCCTGCTTTTCTCTCCAATTCACAAGCTCTTCTTTCCCTTCATTCCACTCTGACTGGAGTCTCACAGCCTCTCCTGGTGCCTCTGTTTTCCTGGTTGGTTTGGAACCTGGGAAAGTCTGGGGTTATTTCATCAAAATTTAAGTCTTCCTTCATTCTTTGGAGGAGTTGCTTGCAGAGATCTTGAATTTCTGAGTTGCTCAGGCTTGGAGAACTCTGGCTGGTTGTACCCTCACAATAAAGCAGCTCTCATGCTTCACACTTCAAGCACCCATGATGATGGGTTTTGCCTATTGTGCAAAGACAAACTTTTTCTGCCCCTCAATTTTAGTTCCCTTTCTCTCAGTTAAAGCAGAAACTGATGCTACAAATCACAGAAGTTTACAACAAAAAAGGCCCTTCCTGTGATGGGCCATACTAGGAAAACATGACCCAGGTATTTTGGATGGGGGGAACTGAGTGTTCTAACACAGATTTTTCCTGTGTTTTCTTTCAAAACGAAAAGATGCATCCAACTGATGAAAGCAGAGTTTAGTGCAATTCATTGTTGTCACTGATGATCTTGATGGAACAAAGTAATGTACAGCTGGCACTAAGCTGTGAACACAACTGGAAAGAAGGATTATATTCCAAATTCACCTTGACAGGTTGGAGAAATGGTCTAGAAAGCAGGGAGGGAATGAAGACAGTCCAGAAGAGAATAATAAGATCTGGAATTAATCTCTGAGAAAAGACTCAATTGTTGGAGTTCAGTTTACAGACAAGAATGAGGGGGGACATAAAGACTGATAAATAAAAGCAAAAACCACTCAGTATTCAGAGAGGACCAGGATCCTGAGGAGCAGCAGGAAAAGCCAGGCTAGCTTTGCAAGTGCCTTTCAACTTCCAGAATGAGGAAAATCCAAAGAGCCAGCTCAGAGGCTGAGTGCAGGATGATTAAAGTTCCCCATATCCCATCCAAGGGCAAGTTTTAGGATCTACTGCTGACTGCCAGTAGTTGAGGATTAAATCCCCCTGTGCTGAACTCCAGCCCTGAGAGTGCAGCAACCTTCAGGCCCTCTACCAGGGGAGCAAGAGGCTGCTGTTCTGAGTAGTTAAATTGGCACAAAACCTTCTCACTATATATAAATACCCACCTTGAAAAAATCGAGCTCTACTGAGTTAAATTCCTATTTCTCCAGCAGCCTGTTACCATTAAGTGACAACTACCCAGAAGTTCATAAACTCCAAGCTGGGCTTCAGGCAGAAATATTACTTGGAGGACATTGGGAAGGAGTAAATAACTTTGTACCTGGCAACTATTCAGAGAAAAAACTTGATAAAAATGCTGGTCAAAGTTAATGTGCATAAATTGCACTAGAAGTGTTCTAACTGAGCAAAAGGTTCCATTTAAATCCCTCACCTGTGCAGGCCAGGGGTCAGCAGGCCCAGGGAAGGAGCTCAGCTATGTATGTGATCACCAATTACCATTTCCAGGGTGTCCTGTGGTTCCCCTGGAGCCCTCCCATCCCAGTTTGACCTTGCTTAATTTGTTACACCAGATCTCATGCTTGGCTGGATTCAAGGCTGCAGAGTGGGGGAGAGAACCCCCAAAGCAAACCCAGATCTGGTGGTGGGTACCAGCAGTGCCAGGGGACAGAGAGACCATCCCCAACATGCTGAGACAAAAAGGGGCTTAAAAAAAGTGGGACACATTTCTCTCCAGAAAAAGGTATTAAAAATGAAGCATCTGTGCTCTGAGTCATTACAGGCCCTTGACAGATGTGATCCTACCAGCCTCTCACTGGAGCTGCAAATAAAGACCCCCTCTCTCTTTCTTCTCTCCTGACAAGGATTAATGAGTACTTGGGATGGCTCTCAGACAAGCAAGCAAAGGCTGTGAACCTTTTCCAACACTGCCATTTATCTTGGGAAGACTATTCACATCACTTCTCCCTCCCTCCCCAGCCTGGATTATGCTCTGACCCAGCACATTAATCTCCCAAAATATAATAATAATAATAGAAGGAAAAAAAAAAAGCTGGACAATTGCCAGAAATAAATTAATAACCATCTCAGATGGCCCTGCTGTGCAGGAACAAACTGCTCAACTCCCCTGCCACCCATGTCATTTCTAAGCAAAACTATTCCCAGTTTAGGCACCCCCTGAAGTGCCCTGCCTGAGACTTGCAGCAATTACTGCTGGTACCTTGCAAGGCAAAGTGCCTTTCATCCCAACAGCTGCCAGAGGTTTCTTTGCTGAATGCAAATAATACACACTGCTACATCTGCCCCTGAAATGGGGACACTACTGAGTGGAGGAAGAGGCAGCATGAGAGATGTGAAATAAAAACATCTCAAAAGGTGTTTTGAATAAGAGAGAGAAACTTTTAAAAGTTAGGCTTAGTCTACATGTGGTTTCATAAACATTTAAATATGTGAAGCATTGAATTAATTTTTTTTCTCCTATGGTTAGAACTGGTGCTGTCTTTTGTGTCTTCAGTTTAACCCAGTTCCTTCTTTCACCTAAGTGGGAAGCCAAAGAGACAAATATTTGCAATTTCTTCCCAGGAAATGAAGTTTCCTGCTTCAGAAATGTGAATTTACAGAGATCACTCAGAAAACAAGACTTAATGAGAAAAGCAGTTATCTGGCTTCTAGCACTGATTCCTCCTCAAGCAATGCTCACCTCAACCCCCTGGAATTTAATCGCTGCTGGTAGTACCAAACCCTTGCTCAGGTCTGTGATGGCTCAAAAACCACCCCTTGATGCCAGGTGACTTTCTGCCAAAGGTTTAGCAACAGATGTTAATGGTTTTATTCTTCCATCCAGATTTGGCACTGGCACAGGGTGTCCAGAGAAGCTGTGGGCCCCCCTGGATCCCTGGGAGTGTCCCAGGCCAGGCTGGAGTGGCACTGGGTGGGATTTAAGGTCTCTTTCCACCCAAACCATTCCCTGATTCTCTGGTTCCATGCTGCAAATGTGTGGTTAAGGTATCAGATTATCAAAGACAAAGGTGTGTGCCTCAAGGAGAGTCTCCTACCTTGGATTTGACAGCGAGGATGATCTTGGGCAGGGCCACGACCAGACATTTCAGGGCAATGGTGAGGTACTTCAGCACAAAGTCTGCAATGCCCACAATCCACATCAGGTCAAAGAAGTCCAGCCTGTCCAGGTTGGGTTTCAGGAATATAAGGCTGAAAGAGACACCAAAGCTCAAATACCACTGAGGAGAAGCTTGCTCAAGCTCCTTGTATCCACTGCTGGCTAGAGAGAGCCCAGGAAGTGTCCTGAACTTCAGGGAAGTTCTCAAGGGCATGAGGAGGAGGACACAAATCAGATCTGGGCTTCCTCTGGGCCTCCTGACTTTGCTGTTGCTCATTTTTACAGGGCTCACCAGGTTTGCCCAGTGGCACAAAGCAGGGCCCAAACACCCATAAAGTCTGTTTGGAACAAGCATAACCTGCCTTTCCCATTGCCTGGGGTGCTGACAGTGCACAGCGTGGGATCTGGGTGTCACAGCTTGTCCTGGCAAATCCTGCTCAGAACAGCTCTGCCTCCCTGGGCAAGGAACATCCCACAGCTCCTGAGGCTGCTCTGCCACAGGGGCACAGTCCCCAAACCTACTGGGCACACCAAACAAAGTGGTGACACAGGAAACTGCACCAGCCACAGCACAAAGGTGAGAACTCCACACGTGTCCTGCTCTGACAGTGGCCACTGCCTGAAGCACAAGAGCTGGGCTCTGTCAATACTCTTACCTGAACCAAAGATCCAAAAATTAATGCCCTTTACATAATGCCATTTAGTGGGCTGAACATTTGCTGTTTAAAAGAGTGGAGTCTGGGACAGAAGAATTTCACCCAGCAATGGGCAGGAGCTACTGGCCTGAGCAATAATAAAAACTAGACTTTACTCACACTGAAAAAACAGGATTCATCTTCAGGGTATTTACCTGCTAAAGTCTCATGGTAGAAAGCAAAAACAACTTAATAGTAAAAAAAAAAAAAAAAAAAAAAAAAAAAAAAAAAAAAAAGGAAAAAAAAAGAAAAAAGCAAAATAAAGTAACCAACCCAAAATGAAAAGCCTGAACATGAATTGAAAATACTCACAACACTGGCACAGCACAACAGGTAAAATTACACCCTAAAAACAGAAACAGAATCAGAGACTTTACTACTATTCATGCACTAGAAATAATTAAAAAAAAATTAAGGATATGAAAAATGAAAGAAAGAAACAAAAGTGAAGCAGACATTTATAATTTGACAAGCCTGGCTTGTGAACAGTCCCAGGTCTGGCAAGCAAGAGAAACACCAGCCTGGGCATGACACCACTGCAGCACTCACAGAACAGGGCTTTTCCTGGAGCTGTGGCCCAGCCTGCCCACTGGTAATAAACCACACTCTAAACTGTCTGTAAGATGGCCCCAAATTGCTAAAATCACTTTCTTTTAGATGATTTAGCCTTTATTTTGAATTAGTCCCATTCATGCTTTTAACCTTGGCCACCTTCTTAGAGACACCCTGTTACCCTGTGGTGCAAACAGATTTCACTTCCACATCTTTCTGCCATTCCTGCTCCTCCTTTTCCATTCCATCCAGACAATCCCATGGCTTGGCCTCTCCCATTCAGCCCCACATTGAAACCTTCTCAAATCTCCCCTTTTCTCTGCTTCCTACCTGTGATTATTCCTGTCTGCTTTACATTAACTTGTGAATCAAATCCATGAGCAGAAATCTTTCTGTATCTGAGAACTAACTCAGTCAGGATTTGAAAGGCAAGGCTATCTTAATTTATCTCAGATCCAAGTGCCCTGAGAACACTGGAGTAAAACTGCTGCTTCATCTCCTGTCCTACACTCCAATCTAGATACTGAAGAGGAAAATCACTGGGTCAGTTCCTCATCTGCCTCTGACACCTGCACTTGATGTTCAGCTGCAGTGGTCACAATGGGAATTCAGAGGTCATTTTTGGAAGGATCCACCCTGCTTTGACACCATCACACCCTGGCCCAGTTAAACACTGCTTATGTCCTTTATTGACAGAACCATAATCCTGTAAGGGGACACACACATTCTTTTCCTGCACTGGAATTTATATTACAAAGATGTAACAAAGACAGCAGATCCTTTAGGGGCACACAGTGCCTCCCATAGTGTGGGGGAGAAGTGGGCTTCTCTCTTTTCCTCCCTGGCAATTATCACCTGCTCCCATCCTGTACAATGTAGATTTTGCTCACCTGTTGTAAAGCTGCTGAGAGCTGAATGTGTAAAGCAAGTACAGGGTGTTTCCAGTGAGAAAGGCCAGGATCCAGAAGACAACCAGCACTGACCTCTTCTCCTGAGCAAGGAAAAGGAGCAGAGTTATTTCAGTTATTTGAGTGGAAATCTCAAGATTTGAGCTGAGCCTTCAACTGCTGAAAAATCCAACCCAGGGGATGCAAATATGTAACAAAGTGTTCAGTAATTAGCTGATTTACACAGGACTACGAAGTAGTCTGCAAAGTAAAGACATCATAAACACAAGCAGAAATGCTTCTCTCTCATGTAACATTTTCAATGGAAATTAATTGAAATAAGCTGGTGAAAATGACAGAATTACTTGCAGAATGCATCTTCAAAGTTGGGATCTTTCTTGGAACACCTAAAATCCCCTGATATTTAAAATTACGTATGACAAACAGATTTTAAAAAGTCCATTCCACATATCATCCTAAATACTGAGCTGCCACCTGGCTGGAGTGACAATTCTTATAAATGGACCCAAAGTCACTCAGTGGAAGGCTCAGCTAAATCAAATATACCCCACCACTACCTGCAGCACATCTGGGTGTTATCATAAAGCATGGTGGTTCTGGAACGTTCATTTTTGATTGAACAAATAGGTAAAGGTCAAAAAAAGTGGAAATTTTGCATTTCAACACATATGGAAAGTTACAGACAAGCTGGATGGCAGAAGTCACTGTCCTAAGTCTTGGCCCTTGGTAACTTTGGGGAGTAAATTTTATTCCTGAGAGGAAAACACCCCCCATTTTTCTTGCGAGCTGATTTATTAAGAAAGGAGGTCTCTGTAGCTGTTCAACAGCCAGGCCTGCTGTGCTGAGATTTAGAGGAGGCAGATCAAGGGGCACACTGCTGGAAGGCCAGAGGTGCAGAGTGCAAGGCAACAGCAATCTGTTACTGGGCTGTGCCATTCATCTGCTCACTCAGTGCTGCATCACACTGACTCCACTGCTGCTGCAGATACAAGCATGCACTTGTGCCACCCAGGTCACTTTGACTAAAAGGAATTCTAGCCTTGTGCTTTGAGTGCTGTTGAGCTGTTCTCCAAACACAGAAGATCAGAAGACCTGAGAAGATCTGCTGGTTTCTTTACATTCTAAGCATATTAATGCCCAGAGCATTATAAAGCTACTAGCAAGCAATACATCTATGAAATCTTGCAGCTGAACGTCTCAAAACATTATCTCTGCTGTACATGATGGGAAACCAAGGTGCAGAGAAGTCCTGGAATAAGCACTGCCAGGCAGAGGGAGATGCAGATTACAACATCCCTAACCTGTCCTCCTTTGTTTTACTACACCACATTTCACAAAAAAGCAGGACAAAGACTTTGGGAGAGCATCAGTGGGGAGAGACAGGAAGGAGAAGACAGATCTGTGCACATATAAATGCATTCAGCTCTACATTGCAATCACAGATGCTATTTTGTGCGTGGAAAAAGATTGCTGAGAACAGAAGTGTTGGAATCCAAAATGCAGAGAATTCTCAGAACTCTGGGCCTGTAAACCAAAGCTTAGAATTAAACACAGGATTTGATTTGAGAGTTTGGAAAAGGCTTCTAAACTTAGGTGCTAGAAGCAAGAATGTGGATTTATAGTTTGAAGGAGAGACACATTAAGTGGAGGAAGGTTTACAGTTTTAGAATTTAAGATATAAGAAAAATAAAAGTAGTTACAAGGTTAAACAAGACATTTAGAATGCAATTTTTTGTTTGTCATAACATGATAAACAAAACATGTTTGTGTGTCATAACATGACTGGCTAAGAAAGCTCACACTGTAGCATAAGTCCATAAGATGAAAACCCGTAAGGATTGAGTCAAAAACATAAATATCCTTGTTGGCAGTGTTTTATTAGCCAATAAATCCTTAAAAGGCCTTGTAGCTAGGGGTCTGGGACCTTCTAAACCATGCAGTGAAGATGTGAGCCGAACTCACCCTTCCTGCCTACGCAGAAAATAAGAAAATAAATCACATCACCTAAAAAACTCAGAGGTCCTGTCTCTAACTCATTGAAAACTCCTTCATAAATCCCCATACAGAAGAAGGTAAAATGCCAGACTCACCTTCAGAGCCACCTGTTCTCGGAGCGTGGAGTTGGCGTAGGCAAAGGTGCTGGCCATACCGATGCACACAGCAATTCCTGCAGGGAAAGGTTCTGTCAGGGAGAAACTGCTGACGCTCTCTGACTTGATTTCACACCCTCCACCCTACCTGCAAGACAGAAGTCTCCTCCCTCTGAACCCCTCTGTGCTACACAGATATCTTTGCTGTCACCAGTGCAAGCCCTCCCCATCTCTCCTAGAGAGAGCTCTGAGGGAGAATCCTCAGTAACATCCTCAGCCTCACAGGAATGTCAGGGAGAAATCAGGAAAAGGAACAGCACTGCTCAGGACAGGAAACAGATGGATCTGACCCGGATGAAAACAGCCTGGACTGAAAGTTATGGGGAATTTATCACATGCATTATCCCATGCATTTGAGTATGTTCCCTTCGTGCTAGACTCCATCTAGACACTGCCACATGGATAAACGTATCGCACATCAGAGCCTGATGAAGCTTCCCAACCACCCTCTAATCACAGTTCAAAAAGCTCTACAAATGCTCACCAAGCTTGTGCTGGAAACAGACTTTAGCCAGGAGGATCAGGATGAAGGGCAGTCCTTTCTGCAGCCACCCAACCACGGCTTTGAGCTCCGAGAGCGCCGGGGCCGGCGTTCCGGCCTGTTCCTCGGCGCCCTCCTCGGCGTGGCCGTGCCGGTCGGCCCCGGCCATGTGCAGCAGCGAGGAGCCGCGGTGGTGGCCGTGCTGGAAGTGATGCCCGGGCGCCCGGGGGTGGAACGGGGCCCCCTCGGCCCGGCCGGCCCCCTCGTCCCTCGGGGCCGGCATCTGGATGAACACTTCTCCCCCTCCGGCCGCCGAGCCCAGCACCAGCCCGGCCGGGAAGGGCGCGGAGGCGATGGAGGCCGCGGGGAGGCCGGCCAGCCCCGAGAAGAGCTGCTGAGGCGAGGCGGCCTCGGCCTTGAGGCTCTCGAACACTCCGCTCTCGTCCACGCTGGCCTCCGAGCTCAGCGTCTGGCTGCGGCTCCTGCAGCGGGCACAGGCGCCGGGGTCCCGTCAGCACCACGGGACGGCCCAGCCCCGGGTGCAGCCATTCCCCACGGCCCCAGGGACACATCACCAACGGGACGGGGCTGCCCAGGAACGCGTCTCAGAACCACAGGATCACACAAGAATGAGGTTGGAAGAGACCTCTAAGATCCTCAAGTCCAACCTATGGCCTAACACCACAACTAGACTACAGCACCAAGTGCCAAGTCCAGTCTTTTTTTAAACATATCCAGAGATGGTGATTCCACCACCTCCCTAGGAAGACAATTCCAGTATTTTATTATGCTTTCAGTGAAAAATTTTTTCCTAATATCCAACCTAAACCTTCCCTTGAGACTGTCTCGAGCTGTTCATCTTCAGCATCAGCCTCATTACATGGTTATGACAATGGGAAGATACCAGCAGCTCATGTTTTCGGCAGCAGCCAAAGAACTCCGTGTTACAAATCACTTTAAAAGCCTTTTCACTAATCACACAAAGCATATTGACAGTAGTTCTATCCAACCACTATAAGCACATTGGTTAAAAAAATGCTTGCTTATTTCAAATACAATACCTGCTTGTAAGCCTTAAAACACAATTGCACAGAGCTCCATTATTAAGCTTAGAGCTTCCTAATAGCTGTTAGATATACTTTTGCAAGATATACTTTTCTGTAGCTTAGGGAGTTATTCTATCCAAGCATTAATACACTGACCATTGTTCTATTTGTCCTCCCTTTCTACATCTTATATAACTTTTTTACTGACAAACCTTATGGCTAAAGCTTAGCTCTAATCACAGTTCTGCTGTCTCTGAGGCCTGCCTTTTGCAGCTTTCCCAAAACTCTGATCTTAAGGATTCCCACACTCTCAGAACATCCAGGTCTCCAGATGCTTTTCCATGTATTTTCTGTTGGAAGTCTCAGCTGCAGAGCTGGAGGCCGGTAACCAGATCAGAGAACCTCTCCAGACCTGACCAGAACACATCAGCTCCCTCACCAAGGAATGAAGCTCCCAAACACCCTGCTTGCTTTTGGAAATAAACAAAGAAATAATACATCCAGTACCAAATCCAGTATCGTCTATAGTGATTTGAGTATTTAAAGAAAAACATACAAAACCTCATGGAACCTGACACTGTACGACCAAGTTGAGTCATACTATAAACAAACAACCAAGCTAACTCAAAGCAATGACCTACCCCTAAAATCCTCTGTCTTTATTTTGGGATAAGCACTACCTGCCCACTGATGAATTGCACCAGAAGAGACAGAATCACCAGGGGAAGAGAAGTGTTGAGAGCTGCTTTGTGTGTCCCTGACCTGACACAAAAGTGAAGGATGTACTCACAGGTTCAGATAAATTCCTCTATTTTTATATTTTTGGTAAATTGGACATGGATGTACCCAAATTACTGGGCAGAACTGGTTCTGCCACTGATTCTTTCCTAAGCGTGCTGGAATACAGCCAGATTCCAAAAAGAAAGTCTAAATACCTTTATCTTAACAGTAAGAGTCAACAGGGTTTTTTTCTTCACTAGAAGTCAATACAAGGAAAGTTTAGGTGAGAGGGAACAATGCAAATAACAAGTACAATGATCACCAGGCAGTAAATGCCTGACAGACAGCAAACACTTCTCTAACCTGCAAAAGGAGAGTAAACAACAAATAAACCTCAGCAAGAGGCAAAGCCCACAAGTAAAGCGTGTTGCAGAGCCTTGGTCTCTCCTGATTTGAATCCTGGGAGATCTCTGACTTTAGGAACAGCACTTACAAGTTGAGACAGCACAGCCTGGGCCCTCAACCTTCTCTCCCCCATGGGTTCCAAAGCCTCCCCAGGGCACAGAACTCTGCCTTTCACCTCCCTCTGGGGACACCCTCAAACCTCTCTGGGCAAACCTGCCCACTAAGCAAACTCCTAATAAGGCTTTTTGTAGCTTCACCCCATTCCCACTGCATCTCCACAGGCTCCTGCAAGGAATCCAGTCAACAAGACATTGCACACCTTGCTCTGGTCCAAAATATTCATCAGGCAGGCCTTTAAATTCACACCTAACATTAGAACTCAGGGGTGTATACACAGCTTATGGCTGGGAATGTAACAAACAGTCTGGGAGGAACCCAGTGCTACAAATAAAGACACAGCTATACTTTGGAATAACATTGCCAGGATACACGAGTGTGCTTTCAGCAGGAAGGAATTAATCTGTGACATATTTATAAACAAACAAGTTTTTTTTGTTGAAATTGTGAGGCTGCTGAAGTTAACAGAAGTGAAGACCAGTGGTAACAGCATTTCCTTCTACAGTCAGAAAAACTTCACACTATGTTCCTGGCGATGTATTTACCCTGTTAAAAATCAGAAGCATCATGTAGAAAAAAAAAGAAGATGGCTTTCTTTCCCCTGAACTTAAGAATGGTACCATGCTAGCAATGGCCATGACATAAGGCTTCAACTCTAATGGCAAAAGCACTATAGAAAATAAAATATTTAATGATCTAATGATCTTTCACTTAAAATCTCAGCTCAAACAGAGCAATGAAATTTGTTAGTTCTATCTTTGTCTTGGAGTAATCAGATTAGTTTCTTCTTCAGGAATAAAAATTTTAAAAGTCATACTCCAACTCTGGGAAAGCACCAGGGAATATTTAGTACTAGAACAACAACAGTGGCAAGGCTCCCTTGCTGATGTTATAATTACAGAAACAAATTAGAGGTATTCTAAATATTACATACACGAAGATAGACTCTGGGAAGATGCAAAGGGTCACACAAACTCTTTATAAAACACTAAGTCAGAGCAGTTGGGAGCTTCAGACCAGCAGACTTTTAAAACACCTCAATAAGAGAAGTGTAAATGGTTCCTGTTCACACAGGTCCATCCCTGCACACTGACAGCGCTCAGGGTCCCCACAGGACAGGGCCATGAATCCAAAACCCCTATTCCAAGCTCCACACATCTTGCCCATGCTCAGCCAGCTGTGTGCCAGCTGTGCCATCCTGGATCACCCTGAAACACTGTGGCTGGCAGCAATCAGTGAGCAACAGCAAGGAAAAAAGTAAACTTGTCTCTAGAATCCCCAGACTCGAGCAGAGAGCCCGGCCACACCACACACATGAATTTGACTTTCTCAATTTTGAACTTTCATCTTCTAAAACACCCCCTACTCTTAAATCAAGAGCCCTCCTCTTGGGAGAGGAACACGGAGGGAAGAAGAAGGGGAAGATTTACCTTTCAGGAGGCACGGTGTCCGTGTTGCTGCTGTGCCGCCTCTGCATTTTCCTCAAAACCCTAAAACACAACACGCTCAACATGAGCCCTGTGGCTCAGCAAATCCCAGAGTGGAGACTGGCACAGGCCCCAGGGGCAGAGGGCAGTGGGACCCGCTCAGCTGGGGACATGGCTGGCAGCAATCATTTGCTTCTGCTCCAGAGCACCTTGGGCTCCCATTTGGTTCTCAGTAGACTTGAAGAGACAGCTCTGAATGGCAAACGGGGGTACACAGGTGTCCAGGGGGCAGGAGTCACTCAGGTCCCCTCCTGCAGGGAGTGGCAGTCACCAGCAGGGATGGCATGGCCTGCCAAGGAACATGGGCACAGCCAACAGTGGCTCTCGATGTGACCCGTGACTCAACAGCCTCTTGGGAAATCAGGTCCAGTCTTCTTTTTCTGCAGGAGCTTGCTCTGCAAAGCAAAACTGAGAGGGAGGAAGAAAAAGAAAATGTGTAAACATTTTTAATGAAAATAATAGAATTATCTCATTACAATATTCTTTTAAACAAGCAACTCATTCATTTTAACCTACAAAGCCTGGACAATAGGCCCAGAGTACAATAGCTACTTAATAAAATGTAAAGACTAAGATCTAAATACTCTTGAATATAAAAAGTTATAACATTACTCATAACACATGACAATAATACATAAAGATGTGCGGCCCATGTGTAAAGGCACAATGGCTCTGGGAAGGTTTGCCAGCTGTCTCAAAGCACAGTACCTGACGAGCAGCTTTATCCAGAGGTGACAGGTGCCACACTGGCAGGATGAAGCCCAGGAGCGTGCAGACAATTCACAGGTGTAGCACCTCAGACAGTCTGGGCCAGCCCAGATTTCAAACTCATCCCAGGTCCTCCCTCGCAGCCAGTGACTCTCAGCACCTGGCCGCAGTGCTCACACAGGCCCACCTGGAGGAAGCACACAGAAACAGCAATTTTCAGCACAGCACTAAGAGTTTTACCTCTCCATCTAACTGGGAAAGGCAGAGAGGTGCAGGAACCCTCAGTGCTTCAAGCCCTGCCCATGTGCATGGCCCAGCAAAGCTGTTTTCCTCTGAACTGGCTCCTGCAGCCCTGCTTCCCACACAGGCGCTCCCAGAGCTGTACTCTGCCTCCACTGCGTAGTACACACAGCTCGTATCTCACACACACCTGAGAGTGGCTCGAATAAATACAACATACATGTATTTATACATACGTGCACTTGTATCACAGAACATATAACACCCACGTAGCATAATAGATATTTTATATATCCATCTGTACATACATATATGTACAAATGCATATACATACATATATTTGTATATATACCTATGAATATATATGTTTACACATATACATACATACATATATATTGATGTATGGGTATAGATCTGTTAATGTATACCTACATACCCATCTATTAACAATCCCATACATATCTATATGTATATATATACATGTATATACATATATATCCAGACATATCTATTAACACGGTTCTAAACATACACACAGATATACACATCTACATATGTACACACCATATACATAGTATGCATATACACATATGCATAGATATACATACATAAAGATACACATACATACACGTACACATAGTTCTATATACATTTATATACATACATATCTATTAATATGGTTCTATACATACACATGCACATGTAAATAGATATATACAAAGTATAAATATATAAATATACATACACATGTATGTATAGGTATACATACATGTATATACATATATATAGACATATCTATTAATATGGTTCTATACATATGCATACATATATACACCTATATGTACACATACATATATACATACAGAGATATAAACCTATATACACACAGATATACATACATACATGTATATACATATACATATTAATATGGTTATATACCTATGCATACATATATACATAGTATACATAGAGAGATATACACCTATATACATAAAGATATACATACGTGTATATATAAATATCTAATAATACGGTTCTATAGATATGCATACATATATAAACTTATATGTACACATACATATATACACAGTATACATATAGATATATAGATATATAGATATACACACATTTATACACAGAAATATCTATTAATACAGTTCTGTACCTATGCATACATATATACACCTATATGTATACATACATATATACACAGTATACATATAGAGGTATACACCTATATATATATAGATATACATACATGTATATACAGAAATTAAAACGGTTCTTTCCCTATGCATACATATATACATCTATATAGACACATGCATGTATAGATATACTCCTATATACATATATATACA